AATGGGCAGAAGGAAAAATGGCCTCCTTTGAGCTCTCCCAAGTGGAATTGGCTGCCTTGGGAGGTGGTGAGTGCCCCTTTCCGGGAGGATTTAAGCAAGGCCAGATGGCCGCTTGTTGAGGATGCCCTAGAGAAAGAACCCTAGATAGGTTCTTGCTCTGCCGCTGAGACTCTGATGTCAGCCAGCTTCAGCAAAGATCAGCTCTTCAGCGAGACTGTCTTCTTGATCCCTGAGCCCATTAAGTGGTGGAGTCCCCCAGCCCCCATTCACCCCCACATCGCTACTCTTCCTACTTGAGTCTGAACTTGAACAGATTGGCGTGACCTATGGAAGGGGGCGCTCTTCACTGAAGGGTATCCTGGGTACTCTGAATCGCCCTGGGCACGTCCCATTTCCAGTGACGGTTAATAACCATTTCCAGTTAATGTTGTTATGACCTTAATGATATCAACAAATATACAAGTGTATACAATATACAACAAATATACATTCCATCAATGATGATTTCACTGGCTCCTAAGGACGCTCTGGCGCAGGTGAGTCAAGTGAGGGATTCCCCTTTACCAACAAGGAAAGGGAAAATGGGAAAGTGAGCTGGCTTGCAGTTGTCTGGGCTCAGTCTCGAACCCTGGTTTCTGCCTCTAGACTCGGGTTCTTTGCCTTTTTTGTCACAGATCCCTTTGGCAGTTTGGTGAAGATTATGGACCCCCTCTTAAGATAATGTTTTTAAATGAATACATTAAAACCCTTATTATAGGATTGTAATTACACAGAAATATAGTTATCAAAATATTTTAACAGCCCAAGAGAAGGGGGCATGTACCAGAGATGTTGAAGAGGTGAGGTTGACAGACCTTGGCACCAAATTGGATATGGATGGTGTGAGACATAGTGAGAATTCCGAGGGTGTGAGCCTGGGGGACTGCAGGATGGTGTTGCCCTTTACAGGAATAGGGACAGTAGCGGGGAGAGTTTAGGGGGAAAGACAACTAGTTCTGTTTTGGGTGGGTTGAGTTTAAGATGTATCTACTAGAGATCCAGTTTGAGATGCCCAATAGGCATTTGGTGATGCAGACTGGAGCTCAGGAGAGAGTCCAGATCTGCCTTCACAGAGCTAAGAATCATTTGGAGAGAGATGATCACTGAGCCCACTGAGATCCCCAAGGGACAGGGTATAAAGGGAGGAACACACACACACAAGGACAAATTCTGCCTCACAGCCAAGCTGAAATGGAGGCAGTCTCACCACGCTCAGAGCGTGTGGCCTGTTTCCCACATCTCGTGGGCATGCAGCCTATATGCAGGAAGGGTCCACGAGCTCATCTCAGAAGCAGAACACTGAGCATCCCCAAGAAATGGGGCCTGAGCCCTGAATGAAGCAGGGGTCTCTAGAAGGCACCATGACATGCCTAGAGGAGGGTGGGCAGTCCATGCCAAGGCACTGAGGCTGGGGAGGGGGCTCGGGGGTAACAGCTCATAGGCAGGTGGGCCAGCACCTAAGGGAACGATGGGCAGTCAGCCTGGCCCCAAGCTGAGGGCTTTGCCTTCTGTCTTCAAGGCACCTTCTGAACAGGGCTGTGTCAGGGATCAGCTGGTGCTTCAGAAAGACTATTCTTGCCTGCGAGCGGAGAAAAGTCTGGAGTCCAGATATGAGAGGTGTGAAGGGGGGAAAGAAAGGAAAAAAACAGAAAGCTCTAAGCTAGACCGAGATCTGCTCTTTGGGCCCTATGGGCAGTGCAGATTATGATTATGGAATGATGCACAGCTTGGCCTCAATTTCGTGATTTTTTTCCTTTTTCCTTTTTTTTGGGGGGGGGAGGCAATTGGGGTTAAGTGACTTGCCCAGGGTCACACAGCTAGTGAGTATCATGGGTCTGAGGCCAGATTTGAACTCAAGTCCTCCTGACTCTAGGGCTAGTGCTCTATCCACTGCACCATCTAGCTGCCCCCTCATGACTTCTTTGGATGGAATGGTGGGTGGTCAGTTGGCTGGCATTTCATCCCTCAAGCACAGTTTATCCCATTCTTTTAAAAGGCTTTCCCCCAAATGATGGATTCTCATTTTCCATGGATATTTGGGGTCAGGGAGGGGTAGTTGAAGAGGGTGGATGGGGCATCCAACTCGGACTCAGAGGCTTTGAGTTCTAATGCATTACTTGAATGTATCATTTCACATTTTGGGGCCTCAGTTCACTGCTCCCCAAAATGAGGAGGCTGGACCAGACAGTGCCTCAATACTCTGAGTCTTAATTTCAGGAAGGACATCCACAGACCACTTAGCTTTTGTCTGTCTCAGACTCCTCAGGTATGGGATGGGGTAACAATGGCCTCTCCCTCACAGGGTTCGTGTCAGCATCAAATGAGACCATATTTGTAAAGGGCTGGGCATGCAGTAGGCACTTAATAAATTCTAGCCTCGCCCTCTCCCCCAGTAAAGAAAGGTTTCTGCTAGGGTCTGGATGTGCTTTGTGTCTGAAGACCCTAAATTCTATAGCAGTACTCGCCTTTGAGAAGAAGTAATGATGACTTGGTCAGGAATACCCCACATTTTTACTAGTGTGTAGAAATGTTAAGTAACTACTGCCTAGTCCCTGCCTCCCCTCTCCTCCCTTCCAACTCAGTCACTGGGGTGGGCAGCGACCACGTCCACGCGGCATCCCAAACATCCCAGCCACCCACGGGCTGCTGCTCCCCCCAGCATTCCAGGGGGCTGCCCTGTTCTCTAGCTAACGTCGGGTGACCTCCGCTCGTGGGGTTCCCAGCCCACTTCTGGCCATTAGTGATCGGCAGCTTCCAGGGATTTTGGAGTAAGTCAAAGCTAAAGAGCGAGCTCCGAGGGGCGTCATTCAGCCGCAGAGGAGGCAGCAAAGGGCCGGACCGGCTGCAGTGCTTGAGGACATTAGGACCCACTGCCCTGGATCTTCCAGAGCCTTGAACATAGACAGATTCTGCTGGGAGTTCCCTTCACGCCGGCTCCTTTGCTAACCGGCTCACGCGTTCCCTTCCCTGCCCACCCCCATCCATCCTGCAGGGGCACAGGTAATGGACACCTCCCTTCTCTTTCTGCCTCTTGGGTCAGTAATCCAAGTGATATACACATTCCTACTTGAAACGCTGATAATTGTCTGACCTGTGGCTTCTATTCGCTATAAGCACTAGGCCTGAGTCAGAAAGATCGGAGTTCAAATCCAGCCTCAGATACTTACTGGTTGTGTGACCTTGGGTGCATCACTTCACCTCTGTCTGCCCCAGTTTCCTCATTTGTAAAATGGGGATAGTAATAGCACCCACCTCCCAGGATTAAAAGATAATAATTCTAAAGTGCTCAGCACAGCATCTGGTCCATAGTAGGTGCTTAATAGATGCTCGCTCCTTCTCCTGTTCGCTCCCTCTCACCTCAAGCAGAAATCCCTTCCCTGCCACTGCTGCCCTGAACCAGGTATCCCCAAAGTCTTAGGGCAGTTTCAAGCTTTCATAGCTCCCCCCCATTAGAATGGCACCTTCCTGAGAGCAGGGACTGTCTTGGCTGCTCATGCTTGTGCCTACCCGGCACAGAGCTTAATAAATGCTTCTTCATTCATCTTGTCCACCAGCTCTCTATATCTTGCACATACCTGGTTGTTTACATGCTGCTTTTCCCATTAGAATGTAAGCTCTTTGAGGGCAGGACCTGTGTCAGCATAGTGCCCGGCACAAGAAAAGCTTAATAAATCTGTGGTTCCGTTTGGGCCTCACAGCTACATTGTGAGGAAGGTACTGTAGGCTTGTTCATTCCCATTTTATAGATGAAGAAACTGAGGCTAAGAAAGGTTAAATGACTTTCCCCCAGTCCCATAGCTAGTAAATGTCAGAGGTGAGATTTGAACTTTGGTCTCCAGCACTTCTTTGGGGAGTGGGCCAAGGCAGTCAGGGTCAAGTGACTTGCCCAGGGTCACATAGCTAGCGTCCAGTGTCTGATGCCAGCTTTGAACCCAGCCAGTGCTTATCCGCTGCGGCACCTAGCTGTCCCTGGTCTCCAGCACTTTGTCCACAAGGTCATGCTGCCCTCCGTCAGGCCCTTGCCCTCTCCTGACCCAGCCTCTCTGTCCCCAGCTCCCTGCACAGCAGAAGGTGACCGCCTCCCTGACAGCCTCCTGCAGGCAAGGCTTCCAAGTGACCAGCTGGTGCTGGACAGGGATATTTGCAGTGTAGATGGTGGCCTTCCACAGGCAGAGAAGATTCTCTCCCATGATCTCAGGATCTTAGAGTACCGGGTCCTGTCCGTCCATGGAGAGGAACCCCTAAGACCCTGTCTGGCGAGTGGTCCTCTAGTGTCTGCTTAGAGCCCTTGATGGAGAGGGGCCCTTCTTCTCCAGGCCCTTGGGATGCCTCTCATGACTAGGGAGGAGTTGTTTCTTGATGTGACGCCTCCATTTGCCTCCCTATAACTTCCATCCATTGCTTGTCGCTCTGCCCCAAAGAACGGGCTTGCACTTTGGGGTGTAATCCATCTGAAACATCTCTTGCTTTAGCTCACTCTGCTCCTGAGACTCACTTTGAGTTACTACTTAAGAGAGGTCAGTGAGATGTGATGGGAAGCGTGCTGAGTGTCCTTTACCTGTGTGACTTTGGGAAAGCCACATAACCTGCTTCTGGACCTGACGATCCAGCTGTGAACCCAGGATTCTCGCACTCTTATTCAAAACCATACAGCTGTGAAGAGAGGCTGGAACGATTTGGGTGCAGAGGGAGGGGCTGCCCCCTGCTACCCCAGAGTCCTCAAGGGAAGACCTTTCCTCTCCCTGGGCCTCAGGCCCTTCGTGTGTATAATAAGACTCGATGGCTTCTTCCAGGTCTGAAGCTATGATCCCATGACTCCACTGATAAGAAAACCTGCCAGAAATGGAAGGAGTAGATTGGGTAACATTCCCCTGGCCACAGGGGATCGATCTCCCAACTAAGACCGTCTCTCTCTATAGGCAGAGGCAATGCCGATGCATCGGGGAGGCCCTCCTTCTCACCTGAGAGTACGTCCACCGGCGGCACGTGGTGCTGGCTGGAGTGGGCAGGTCCGGCAAGACGCTGCTCATCTGCTGCAGAATCACATCCTGAACATCCTCAATGCTTTTCTCCAAGTTCTCCATTCCGAAGGACGTGGTGGTGTGGACGACCACTGAGGGGCCCGAGTCTGCTGCATCTGCAAGAGGGTGAGAGACCAAAAGAGGACCCTTAGAGTGGACAGCTCTGAAGCCGCTGAGCTTAAGACAGAACCCAAAAAACCCTGGGAGCAGGTCTGAGAAAGACAAAGTTCAGTACGAAAATTCTGGAAGCCAACAGGCAGAGTGCCCCTAAAAACAGGCTTCTCTTTGTCTTCCTCCACCCCCAGGACAGTTTGCTAACAAGAGTCACCGTTTCATGGCCTGGTGCTACTGTAATAATGTTATGTTTGCTGCTAATTAATAATTACAAATGCTGCGTACTTTAGGGTTTGTATTTTAATAATAGTTGATATTACTTTAAAGTTTGGAAAACATTTTTCTGACGTTATCTCCCACGAGCCTGCCAACAAGTAGGATGCAGGTGCTAATATTAGCCCTGGTGTAGAGATAAGGAAACAGTGACCTGGTGACACACCAGGGATATTCTTTGGGTCCAGCTACTGAATTGGTACTGAATGTACCTAACTGTACAATTATCCAGCCCATATTTATAAGCGTGGCATGGCTGTATCAAATCTGGGCTGTGTGACCGTGGCCAAGACACTTCACCTTCATCTCCTCATCGGCTTGGATTGGGTCACCCCAGAGGCACCTTCTGGCTCTAAACCGACAATCCCAGGAGCCTATGGACTATTTTGCTAAAATTTACCCGCACTATGTCTGTAGCAATCCCCAATCTGATTATCTAGCAATCCTGCGCACCAAAGGCAAGGGACTTCCCTGGAACGACCTATGATCTCACTGAGACCACATGAGCCTCCTTTTCTCGCCATCCCTTTAATAAAACATGCTAGAATTTTGCCAGAAATTGAAGTCAAGTTCACTGGCCTTGCTTTGGCAGACTCCACTCTCCCTCTCTCTCTTTTTAACTGCAGTAACCTTCCCTCCTCCCCCACTCCATACACACACACCGTCTCTAGCTCAGTCTTACTTTCCCTTTTTTCCCCCATGATCCTTCAAAGATCACTGGTAATGGTTCAGGAATCTCATCTCACAGACTTTTCAGTACCAGAGGATGTCGTTCCTTTGGGCCAGGTGACTTGGATTAATCAATTTGAGCTAATGGCTCTCTTTCCACCTGCCCACTTATCTGGGCTTTCAATTCTCCATTAGCCATTTTTGTCCTTTCTACCTCGCCAGGTTGTCCTCCTTGGCAGAGGATGTAGAGGTGCCATAAGAGTTGGGCTTCTCCTTTTCTTGGGAGTGTGTCACCATTCTCCTCCCACCTTCCCACAGCAAGGGGCAGTCCTACTTTTCCCGATGTAGCCACCCCCATGTATGTTTTTGTTTTTCTTAAATTTCCCAGACAAGCTCAAGTTCTCCTGACACTTTTTACAGGGCCTTTCTGCACTTTTTTTTTTTTTAAGGCAATTGGGGTTAAGTGACTTGCTCAGGGTCACACAGCTAGTAAGTGTCAAGTATTTGGTCTGAGGCTGGATTTGAACTCAGATCCTCCTGACTTCAGGGCCGGTGCTCTATCCACTGCGCCACCTAGCTGCCCCTTTCTGCACTTCTGTATTCCTTCTTGCTTCACCAAATTTTGTAAGTGTCTTTTTTAAAAATCAAAGGCAGAAAGGGGGCAGAGCCAAGATGGCAGAGTAAGGAGCACTGTTTCTGAGGTCTCTTAACTGCCCTTCTATAACAACTTTTATTTATTTATTTATTTATTTTAGTGAGGCAATTGGGGTTAAGTGACTTGCCCAAGGTCACACAGCTAGTACGTGTCAATTGTTTGGTCTGAGGCCAGATTTGAACTCAGGTCCTCCTGACTTCAGGGCCGGTGCTCTATCCACTGCGCCACCTCGCTGCCCCTCTAAAACAACTTTTAAAAACTGCATCCAGTCAAATTCTAAGCAGCCTGGCAACAACAACAAAAAAGCCTGAGTGAGTACTTTTTCCAGTCCAGGACAGCTTAGAAGGACAGAAAGACAGGTCAGCGGCACTGGGGTGGGGGCTGGCAGCAAGGACTGTGTGATGGAAACGTCACCGGCTGTGAGCTTTGGAGACAGCGGGTGGCAGCTGAAGTGTCAGGAGGGAGCACTCAGTGCTCGGAGACAGTAGGGTCAGAAAGAGATCACATGCTAGCACTGGGTACAGGTCTGGGCACCATTTGGCATAAAATGGATCATGCCACCTTGGAGGCATTGAACACTTACAGATCCCCTGAACTAGTTGTGAAAGCAGCTGTGTGAAAAAGCCTGAAGCTGTGACAGAGACACCTTCTCCCCGCTTCCTAGATAGGCTCTACTCTCCCAAACTCTAACATAAAGTCCAAAGTCAAGAAACAGCCTGGAAAAGTGAACAAACAACAAAAAAGACACTTACCATAAAATTCTACTGTGGTGACAGAGAAGCTCAAGACAGACTCAGAAGAAAACAATGTTTTGAAACATATACAAGCAAAGCCTCAAAGAAAAATGCAAATTGGATACAAGCTAAACAGAAATGCTTAGAAAAGTTAAGGAAAGAGATTTTAAAAAGAGCAAAAAAAAATTAAAAATCTATTAAGAGTGGTGGAGGAAATATTGAGAAAAGAAATGAAAGCAGTGGAAGAAAATGATGAAAAGAGAATTAACAGCATAGTAAAAAAGGCATAAAAATACTGAAGAAGATAACTGCTTTAAAATCATAATTGGCCAAAAGGTAAAAGAGGTACAAAACCTCATTGAAGAAAATAATTATTTAAAAATTAGAATCGGTTGAATGAAAGCTAATGACTTTATGAGACATTAAGAAACAATAAAACACAGTTTAAAATAATAGAAAAATTAAAAAGTGAAATATCTCATCAGAAAAACAACTGACCTGGAAAATAGATCAAGAAAAGATAATTAAAGAATATTGTACTACTTAAAAGCCATAATTAAAAAAAGAGCTTGGACATAATATTTAAAAAAATTATAAAAGAAAACTTCCCAGATATCTTAGAATCAGAGAACAATATAGAAATTCAAAGAATCTACCAATCACCTCTTGAGAGATACCAAAATGAAAACTCTCAAGAATATCATAGCCAAAGTCCAGAGCTCCCCGGTCAAGGAGAAAATACTGAAAGTAGTCAGAAACAAACAATTCAAATATTGTGGAGCCACAGTCTGGATCACACAAGATTTAGCAGCTACCAACTATAAGGAGTGCAGGGCTTGGAATGTTATATTCTGGAAGGCAAAGGAGGTTATAACCAAGAATAACTTACCCAGCAAAACTGAGTATTCAGTTTCAGGGGAAAAATAGATATTTAATGAAATAAAGGACTTCCAAGCATTCCTAATGAAAAGACCAGAACCAAATAGAAAATTTGACATTCAAATACAAGGTTCAAGAGAAGAATAAGAAGGTAAACGTGAAAGAGAAATCATAAAGACCTTGATAAGGTTAAATTGTTTACATTCCTATACGGGAAGATGATACATGTAACTCCTATGAACTTTATCATTAATATGGAAGTTAGAAGGAGTCTACATAGAGGGCATTGGGTGTGAGTCAGTTATGTCAGGATGATCTCAAAAAAATGGAGGGGTGAGAAAAGAGGGATGTACTGGGAGAAGGGGGAAGAGAGAAGAATAGGAAAAATTATCTCACATATAAGAGGCATACAAAGAAGAGATTTTGTAATGGAGGAGGAAATAAGGGGGAGTGGTCAACCCTTGAACTTCACTCTCATCTGAACTAGTTCAACAAGGGAAGAATACACACACACACACAATTTATGTATAGAAATTAATCTTACTGAGCAGGGAAGGGGCTAAGTGAGAAAGGGGAGGGGTGTGAAAAGAGGGAGGGAAAATTAAGGGAGGCAGTGGTCAGAAGTAAAATAGAGAAGGATAAATAGAAAAGAATAGCATAAAAGGAAATACACAGTTAGTGATGATAATGGTGAATATGAATGGGATGAACTCCCTCCTAAAATGAAAGCCGACAGCAGAATGGATTAGAAATCAGAATCCAACAATGTGTTGTTTATAAGATAGACATGCTTGAAACAGAAAGACACAAACAAAGTTAAAATAAGAAGCTGGAGCACAATATATTATGCTTCAGCTGAAGTGAAAAAGGAAGGAGTAGCAACCATAATCTCAGACTTAGCAAAACTAGACAATGAACTGATATTAGTAGTAAACACACACACATATCAAATTTTATAACATACAAATTTTTGAACGAAAAGTTAAATGAATTATAGGAGGAAATAGACAGTAAAGCTATTTCAGGGGGGACTCAGATTTATCCTTCTCAGATCTAGATAAATCTGACCATAAAATAAATAAGAAAGAAATTAAGGAGATGAATAGAATTTTAGAAAAGTTAGATATTTTAGACCTCTGGAGAATACTGAATGGGCACAGAAAGGAATATACCTTTTTCTCCTTTTAACAGATGAGGAAACTGAGGTTATGGAGGTTGGGTGGTTTGCCTGGTACGTGTCCGAGGCCAGATTTGGGATCTGATCTTCCTGACTCTTGACTGGGGCAGCTAAGTAGTTCAGTGGATAGAGTACTGGGCTTGGAGCCAGGAGGATCTGAGTTCAGGGCAGGCCTTAGTGTTTAAGTGTTTAAGGCTAGACACTTACTAGCTATGTGACCCTGGGCAGGTCACTTAACCCTTATTTGCCTTGTTCCTGATCTGAAAAATGGGGACACACTGGAGAAGGAAATGGCAAACCACTCCAATATCTTTGCCAAGAAAACTCTACGGACAAAAATCCATGGGGTTACATAGAGTCAGACACAATTAAACAGCAATAAAATAACTTTTTTTTCAGGGGTACATGGCACCTTCACAAAAACTGAGCATGTACTAGGGCATAACAACTTCACAAACAAATGCAGAAAAGCGGAAATATTTAATGTACCCCTTTTGGATCATAATGTGATAAACATTACATTCAGTTAAGAGCTTTTTAAACTAGATTAAAAATTCACTGGAAGCTAAATAATCTAATCCCAAAGATTGAGTGGGACAGAGAACAAATCATAAA